AATCCTATTATGTGATTTGTACAGAATTCCGGTATTTGTACTATTTTAGCACAATTGGATTCAGATTTATCTTGTAATTGCATCTTGTTGTTTAATATCTTTTAAATCGGCGTAGCTCCTCTTTGCGTAAATTAACAGAGTGGCGATTAATAGCTCCACTTGCTAACTCTTGGTTCCGCTTATCAGCCACAGATTCCAACATAAAGCTCTCCTCTTGCCACGCAAACAATTGTTATTATTGACAACTCAACAGTGGATTGGAACACGAAGCAAAGCCAACTACTTGCCTGTTTAATGGTAAAATACAAATACAGAGTAAACACATTACAATGGGAACTACGTTGGATTGTTCGTAGCGAATATGCGTATATACAGAAACATTTGCTCGTTAATATCGTCGTCTTGCATCCCCATTCTTTTTCGCTGTCCTTAATTACACTACTTTCAAGTGATCGTGCTGACCACGGGAACCACATTTCACGGATGATTTGCCAAAGATTTCCGAAAACATTGACCAAGTCACGTCAAAGAGCAAAACGAATTGATTGTACATCGTGAAGTAGTAGGTTTCTTGTGGCGTCTTCAAAATGATGAACCGTTATTATGTACAGATTTCATGTTTATATCCACATAGCTAATTTAACAATTTATTTAAAATATAGGAAATCTCAACAGTTCATCCATTGATATACGAATTTATTAACGCTCAAATGCATTATGGTGCAGATGTATTTACATCTTGAGCGATATACGTATAAAATATGTATGTATGTAGCTTCAACTCTTTACAGTAATCTACAGTAACCACACGTTTAAAGTGAAGTTCGAAGATAAACATAACATTTGACAGATCACAAGTAGATGAAATGGAAAGCAGATAATTTTACTATTGTGAATATTACGTTGACCTACCCTATAGATAAGAGACAACAATACATGCTATGATATAAATCAGGATGGAAGTAGGTGGTTGACACAGTTTTGTCAGCTATGTTGTAAATTCTGTGTGTTGAACGCCAACCACAAAAAAATTCTCTAAATTGTTAAATTATTGAAATATACGGAAATTGCAGTATCGAAAAGTGTCAAACCTTGTATCAAAATATCTATGTAACTTGTAAACAATTTAAACAATTTTCAAGACTTGTTTTAGACATTTCGATTGCTCGCTGTAGGATTAAATTACTTTACCCAAATACATTATACGTGCCCATTTAATTGTCAGATTATTAAAATAATTTTAGCAGCTTACTATTTAAGCGTCGCTAATTAAACTACAAAGTTAATTTTTTGTTAAAATTGCCTCCTACGTAAAGTGAGTATAAAGTCAGAAAATGTGATACTAGACCACAATTATTTACCTAATCTGGTTACTGATATAATCGTCGTGTCAATTTTTTAAATTAATTACAAATTTGTTATGCCTCAATTTACTAGTAAAATATTCAAACATAATTCAAGATGCTTAATCAGAAATATAAGTCTACACTAAAATCAAATAAGCAGGATTAGAAGAGAGCAATTAAATAAATGACTCATTTCATGTAGGCTTTTTTTGAAATGGCTAAACTAATAGTATGCACGTATTGTCTTATTAACTCGTGAATATAATAATGATATTAATAATATTAAGCAAGTTATAATTACTACGCGTATAAAATTATGAGTAAGATGAATATGGTATGAATTTGAAAAATAGGCATACGACGCCGAAATCGTTGGTCATGTACTGCAGAGACTCATATTGGTACTTAAGGGATGGATTGCTATATTGTGTGCTGACTGACACGATTCTCTCTCGCTTCGCAATTTCGCATCTGCATTTCTTTCTAAATTAGTGCAGTCAGTCAGTGCACAATTTTCAGTAATGGAACGGTTGGCTTTTACTTTTGCAGACTGTGCGTGATGGTGTGCTCTCTGCTGCGGAAATAATTGCAGAATTGCGTTGCATCATTCCTTTGTCACCTTATCTTATTAGTGCAACGTGGTGGTAAACACCATGAAATATTGCAATATTTTAATTAAAGAGGTCTTGTAATCCTTTGCAATTATTTGGAAGCATCAAAACTGTGATACTGGGTTATGCATAACTGAGGAAGACGTTTTTAAGATCGTGATCAAATCAACCTGCACTGTTGTCAACAATTCAATAAGTACGGTTTTCCTCACAGGGGGAAGCCTGCAAGATTTACTCTCAAAATATTCCAAGATGAAGGTACTTTCAATTTCAATACTTTCTCCATAACGTGAGCCTCAGGATTCTTACTTGTCTAAAAGTATCATTGAATGGCATAGTCGTAGAGGATATGTACATGAGCACATGTGCATATGTACATATGCATGCACATTGTCTCAAGCAAATAAAAATCACGGCAAGAGATGTAATTATAAGTGTGCACATAGGTTGGTATACTTTAAATAAGGTTTGAATTTGTTTGTGACACTCCTTCCAAAACATTCATCCTTTGTAGATAGAAATTTGATATGCAAATCATAATGCTGTCCATGCAATAAAATTAAAACACGGTAATTAACTTTTGGAAGGAACGAATTGTGTGTTTCTGTGTGTGTAAGGCTTTGATATCGAGTGTTTTAAACATTTTGTAGAAAATTATTCGAGTTCTTATACAAAACTGGTGAACAACAACAGTAACTTTGATACTGCTTTGTATTTACATAAGTGTCAGGTGCAGAGGCAGTATTATGTACATATTCATATGCAGCTCCTGTTTTTGATTTTTAAACTATTCAACTTTCTATGAACTTCACTCTGAACAAGGTACAAAAATCATTTTCATCTAATTTATTTGCATGATGGATTAATTACCTTGTCCCATCAGCAGGTGTCAGTCAAATTCTGAATTAAGTACCTAATCTAAAAAAATATTCTTTTTTTTTGCTCACAGTTATAAAATATCATAATCCATCTATTAAGTTTTCATGACAGGATAGGTATCCAGTCCACCATATATTTGCATATGCCATTCATTAATTTCTGTAACTTGACAAAGCTCGGAAAAAATAAAATGGATATTTGAATAGTTCACCAACGACCCATCTGCACATATTATATGACCACTACAACCACTTGACCGATTTCGCTCCACTTCGATCTTGTAGACCGGAAAAGTTCGAAGAAAGTTATCGAGCATAAGACAAACGAGAATCAATCTAGAAGTCTTGACCCTGACTCGGGTTAAAAACTTAATGAATTAGAATGTTCAGGGTTACAAAGTAGTTCAATGCAAATACTGCACTTTAAAATTCCTGTGAGATTGACACAATAAAATCCGAACAGAAAAGTGAAAAACATATTTTGTAAATGCATACAAATTAGAATGTGTTTTTACGAAAGCATAGAAGTTATTTAATAACGAAACACTCGAAAGTCTCACTTTTATGCTACATTTCTTACTCGAACCCTGAACAAAGAATTTTGTAAATTATGTATGTAAGATTTATCCATTTGACATATGTACACCAGGCTAAATTTGCATTAAAATTTTAGCAATTTCGCATCAATTATGTAATTGCTTGCATTCTGATACACGGTCGAACATTCAATATAATTTTATGCATTTAATGCACTCGATCGTCTGAATGCCTCTTACTTATTACGATAATGAACCATTATAATTGACAGTAATTTCAATTTTACAGTTCAACAGTTCATTTTAGTGAACTCTTGGCTTTATTATTTTTGACGCATATATATTTAAACATAAGCACAATAATAAATGTGTCGTTATTTATTTGTTACAGTGTACCAGCATGTGTATCACTGTAAGAAGTCATATTTAACTACAATTAGTCATGATGAGTGAATAGTGGTGGTAGCAGACTATGAAAAAGTAGTCTCGCTTGCAATGCTTATAAAATTGGACCTTGATATTTATCGTCTGCTACGGTCAGCATCAATTTTGAGAGACTCAAAGCAAATAAATACAGCCAAGGGACAGGGCAGGGATACACACATATGACCTCCATAAATTATGAAGCTTGTCCCTATTTGTTTGTTAGAAAGATATGAAATTTATTGCTGATTGGTATAAATTTTATTTTACGTACCTGCGCACGGTATTTCTGTGAAATAATAATTGAAAATGGTCTCCGCAGGGTGGGTCAATGTCGCATTTTCAAGGATTGCATTAAGATAAGATTGTGGTGTATTTGATAAAAACTTAAAAACGTATTGGATGCAAGAGTTTATTTTATGATATTTTCTTGAAATATGAAATAATCAAACTTGCATTAATTTAATAAACTATATTTTTAACGTACACTGAGGGGATAAATTGTCCGTCACGGTTTAACATAGCTATATCTCGTACAATTTCATAGATATCAATTTGAAATTTTGCATAGTTGTAGACAATCGCATTTGTGATGAAATTGGACTCATAGGTTGAAAAAATAATGCAAAGGTCAAAGGTTACGATTTTTTGACCTAAAACCTCAAAAGTCAGCTACATCAAGAAAATTTTTTTCTTGGTATTTTTATTTTTATAAAGTTAGGGCAAGTCATCCTGAGCATTTTGATATGTTGGTCACCTCTGTGCGATTTTTTTTGTGCCCACAGCGATTTTTTGAAAAGTGATGTTTTGAGATTTTCTCCCGTAAGCCCAATGTTATAACTTTTCAAAACATCACTTTTCAAAAAATCGCTGTGGGCACAAAAAAAATCGCACAGAGGTGACCAACATATCAAAATGCTCAGGATGACTTGCCCTAACTTTATAAAAATAAAAATACCAAGAAAAAAATTTTCTTGATGTAGCTGACTTTTGAGGTTTTAGGTCAAAAAATCGTAACCTTTGACCTTTGCATTATTTTTTCAAACTATGAGTCCAATTTCATCACAAATGCGATTGTCTACAACTATGCAAAATTTCAAATTGATATCTATGAAATTGTACGAGATATAGCTATGTTAAACCGTGACGGACAATTTATCCCCTCAGTGTACTTAATAGCGTTTGACTTGAATCGAATACTTAATATAATGTGGAAAATGTGAAAGTGTATATTCTTAAATACTATAGTGTTTCGTACTCTTTAAATACTAGCACACACCTCATATATGTAAATTATATAAATAAATGTATTTTATGAATGTCGAGAACATTAATACTACAATCATGAACTCGGAGAAATGTCCAGTTCCTCCTCATCATCCGATTCTTCTAAATACTCTTCGTCCGGTTCTTCATTTTCTCCAGGTACATAGTTCCAATTATTCAGTTTGGTTTTGACCCCCGGATCGTGGCATAAATCACCCGGAAACTGTCCTTGTTTGTTCTGAATAGTTGGATTTGCACCGTTTTCCAGAAGAATACCAACAATGTCCTCGTGATCTTTGTTTGCAGCAAGATGTAAAGGCGTGTCCCCTAACTTATTCTGCAACATGTGGGTATTTTAGCACGCTTCTTAATATTACATGGGTCAATTTAAATAAGACTTCATAATAAACTAAAGGTGGGTCACCAACGTTAATATCTTACCTGGACATTTATGAATTGAGTTGTGCTCCCAAATTGTTTCGATGCAGAGCGAAGGAGTTCTTGAAAACAGTCTAAATGACCACCTCTCGCAGACCTATGTGATTTTAAATATCGCCCTTGCAATAATTTACCTGTTTTATTTGTTAGTTTAAATATTATTAACGATAAATACCAGTGAATTGGGCTGTTTCCCGAGGCATCTAAACCCGTTGGACTAACTCCATTTTCCAAACACTCCTTTAAGAAATCCAAGTTACCTCGGCGTGCGGCATCATGCACCGGATTTTCTAAAGTGTCCATTTTTAATTCGACATAGTTTGACGGGATAAGGCCGCATTTTCGACCGCATCTAGCTTTCCACCATGATGGATCACTCTGATCCACCAAGTACAGCACGTCTCCCTCGTTGAACGTAAGCTCATCTTCCTAACTTGGCAAACAACAAATTGTAACCGCATTTTGGAATGGAAACCAGCAAGGTGAATCTTACCTGTTGTGCAGTGTATCCGTACATAGCTCTCATACAAATTACCTTTCCTAATAATGCATAATATTAGCACATATTGTTCAAACCCAACGATGTACATATTACACACAACTACATACATGCAAGAAATTAACATAAAATTCTTACCCGGTTTCGGTGCAATTTTCGGTGGGATGGGTTTACTTGCCATTTTTGAGATAAATTACTACAATTCAAAAGCAGAGTGCCACATATACTAAACAAGTTCTTGGTATGTAGGCAGGAAAGTAACAAGTGACGAAAGTATATATTTTTATGTTGGTAAAACAGGTGATAAAGCACTTCCTCCTCGTCAGTTGACTGTTTTGCCTTCATTTAGATTACTCACCCATCCATGTAATTACTTGAGCATAAATTCAACACTATTCTAGGGGTATTCCAACATCGGCATGAATGATATTTCGCCACAGCAGCAGCGGTGGATCTGCCACTGACAGACTTATAATTCAGTAGCTAACCAATCTGCCAGACTTGAAGCAGGATTTTGCTATTTGTGCATGACACGTGAATGACGCTACTTCCTAACTACATTAATTGAATGGGATATATATCTGTAGAAATCTTTGAAACATGACTAGCTAAGAATATACTGAAGTAGACATGCACATGAATGTGTACGCGTAAGAGTTACTGTAAACTGTTGAATAATGGAATAAAATACGGGTATCTCGAATGTTTTGATTTATTTGAAGTTTAAGACATAGTAATGAACATCAACATATATACGATTATTATTATTATTATTATTATGCATTAATCACTACAATGAATTGAACAACACATTAATTTCGTTGTACAAAGAGATTTTAAAATTTGCAGAATAATGTAATCATTAAAAAGAGTTTAGCATTCCAAACAGATTTGTAGAGTTATATCATATTATTTGTGTAGAATCACTAGTATCAATAGAAAAATAGTGCATTATGCAAAATTTTAGAGCACTTGAAAGGTTGTAAATTTTACATTTAGTTGAATATCAATGGCTTCTGGACCACAGGAGATTCTCCAAACGGTAAGAGCAGTATTTAACAAAGAATAGAATATTTTGTATATAGTTTATTTAAAAGTTACCACGATTAAATTAACCACAATTATGCAAAATCCCGAGCATATTTACAATTGAACTATTCTACTATCTACAATTTTCAGTAGTTCATTTGCACCCACAGAAATACGCTACGTTGACTTTGGACGAGGCGTGAGAGTTGAAAAAGAGAGTCTCTAAAATAATTTTACATCATATCTCATGCAAACATTGCTTGCCATATAATATCAGAATTTAGAAAATGTAAAATCTAGTAAAAATCATTTAATTTTGACGACTGATTTTTTTTTACTAATTTATTATTGACTCGATTTCTCAACTCCACAACCAGGTTCTAGTCAGCATAAGTTTTTCCATCGCTGCATAATGAATGAAAACTATTTGCAGTTGAGCTTTTGTCAGGGTTAATAAGCGCATGCAATGCGCCATCGATATGTATAACATACACCTAAAGAACTATACAGGTAGTTATATATTTATACTACTCAAATAAGATTTAATACAAGATTTAAGAATCATTCTAGCACTCTGTAGATTTATTTTTTACAAAAGTAAAATGTTGGAACGCTTTCGTTAAACCTATCGCGATCATGTGAAACAATTTCATATTCATCGCATAACATAGTACATTACATAATATTGATAATAAATACATTAATTGGCACGTAGCTAAAACTTAATTAGGCTTTAAAACTAGAAATGTTACATACATTGATTAGCTAACATACATACCAGGCGTCCACTGGACTGTAGTAAATCTACAATAGCTACAGAGTATTTAGAAGATTATCACTTAATATATTTAATAATTCATTGATCCATAATAGTCCATAATATGTTCATCGTTAAAAAACAGTATAAAGCGTATCACAATGAGAGTCATACATAAAACTATAGCAAGAGGAACACGTCAACTGGAATAAAAAAAACATTTCGCCAGCAGTCTACTAATTCCTACACATAGGAACTCGAGTTCTACACATATTTAGTTTGGGACAAGTGATTGGCTGTATACTGATATGTGAAATGTGTTTAAAATAAATAAAAATGTGTGGAATAGTGACGAATTACAGTTCAAATATGCTAACACATTACATTGCCACATGATGTTTGTACTACTGAATGAATTGGAGAGTAAGTAGTTTTAAAATTTAAATTAGTGGTAAGAGTACATAAACTGGTCATGCGGGGACATTCGACTAAAGTTATTGTTGGAGTTACTTCCGGGAGGTAAAGGCTTTGAGTTCATCAAAGGCTCTAGAATCCTGTAAATAAATGATAAAACACAGTTAACCATCAGAATCACAACTCTCGCAAATTGGAAACAAATAAAAAACAAACGGCACAGTCATGAAAACGAAGCTGTTGTGGGAGAAAGTCATGGAATTAGTTCTCACTCGCAAGTTGTGAGTTTCAAGATTGAAGGAAGCAATAAAAATCATTTGAACGAGCTAATGGTAAGTTTCTCCTAACCTGGAGTACGTCGAATCTTTCTCTGCCATGAGAAGCCTGGCAGTGTAGTTGGAATTAGCTGTGGAGTTGGGAGTTGGTAGACTGCTGTTAGGCTGAGAGTGATTTGGACTGAAATCTAACAATTTTCTTGTTGTATCAAGAAGCTCGTAAGGTTTTTTAGGAAAAGTGCTCAAGTCTTTCCCATGGGTTCCTGCTGGTCCCCCGGTAGAATTGTGCCGGCTGCAATCACTGGACTCTGAACATTGTCCAGGTGGAGGGTAGCGTTGCTGAGTTGTTGGCATTTGCATCCGAAATCGTGGAGGTGGATGATCTCCATCAAGGGATGAACATGTGTCAATCAGCTTTTTCTCGATAGTTCCGCTGTTGCTACTTTTGCCATTGCTGTGTTTCTCCTTCGTGGAGTACTCTGACTCGTAGAAAAGGGATGATTTATGAGATTTCATCGCGTGGGCATCCACGTCAACAAGTCCTTTTGATGTTTCGTATTGGGCCAGAATTCGATTAGCGTGATTGTCCCTAAGATCACTTGGGTCTCTCTTGTGATGTCCATGTTTGTGGTGGTGACCTCTCTCTGAGAGTGGAGCTGTATCATAGGTTTTGTAATAGTTGGATTCATACGACGGCGGTCCAGACATTAGCAAATTTCCACCACCTCCAGTCCCACCGGTAGTTTCTGAACATGACGGTGGTGCGGGATGGCTATTATTATCGGGGCATGATTTTTTCTCGTAGAGAGATTCGTAGTTAGAATCCCCATAAGGATGATGGCCATGGTGTGAGTGAGGTCCAGAGGTTGAGTGAGGCGTCGTTTGTTTACGTAGAGTTTCGAATTTAGAGTGGTTGTACTCTAGTCTTTTGGAAGCGTAGACAGATTGGGAGCGACTTAAGTTTGTTCTTGGTAAGACAGGGGATGGTTTCATATATCTGTAAAATCAATTATTAATAAATACTAATTGTACAAGTATTTTCGCAGGCATGAATTTGATCAATTTAATTAAGACGACTTACAAAGAGCGTGTTCCGCTATATAAGGGCTGTTATGAAAATAAGAATAAATCGGATTAATTCAAGAATTTAAATTATGCATATAAAAAATTAAAGCTTGTTAATAAAGTCATGAACATAAGCTTACCTCAAATCGTTCGACGAGGAGTCCTGAAAAACAAACATTTATTAAAAAAAGAGTCGTCAAATTGAAAATTGAGAATTTTAGCAACTGAAACGAAAAACGTTGAAAATGGAAAGTCTTGAGCAGTTTTTGTGATAGCATTTAGGTTAGTTAGTGAATATTGGGTTTTGTCTTGTCAGCATAGCACACGAGTAATGCAGAAAAGTGATACAAATACTTCAAAATCATGAAGCAATGTATCTCTAAATCATGTAATATCTGGTGATCAGTAACTATTTTCTAAAATCGATTTACGAAAAAATAATAAAAATAAGCTGACGTAAATGTGACACTCAAATTGTCACACACATACGATTTAGTGAATACTGATTCAAGTCCTATAAGTACTTGCTTATTTAGCAAGTGCTGTGTCCTGCAGAAGCGGTGGGAACCACCACTAATTGTCCAGCATTTGAAATGGAGAGTAGCCAACGCCAAACTTTCATAAGGGCTTCCATCACTAATTGAAATATTATATGTCAACATCAAATAGTTATTTATTTAATTTTAGTAGTATGGAAATAATATTTTTTTGACATCTAACTCTTCTAATAAATAGACAAGAATTGTGTAGGCAAATTCAATGCATGAATGGAGAAAGTCAGAATCTACAAGTTTTTCACTTGCATGCATGCAGATGTAATAGGATTTTAAAAATTGCACAGATTTTGTCAAACTATTTAAGATAACTACTGCTTGCAGAAAAGTTACGGAAAAGTCAGCACAAAAATTGTTTGCATTGATGACTTGAGTGAAATGAGCCCTGATAATGCGTGTGCAGTGGTGATCTCTCTTACTGTCGTGCGTTGTCGTGGGGAGTGCAGCCGTGGGTAGGTCGTCCAGTGAGTCTCCGTCACTCGTGCTTTCCCTCACCTTCTTTCCACGAGCTTTGGGACCCCGTCTCAAAATGTACTTGTGGAGATAGCCGGCCAGCAATCCTCCGAAAATTGGTGCAAGCCAAAACACCCAGTGTGCCGTCCATTTATTCATTACAAAGGCTGGCCCCTACGAAACCACCATAAACAACACAAATAAATACGCATACGTATGTACGGACAACAAACATATCGACAACATGCTTACCAATGACCGCGCGGGGTTGAGACCTGCTCCTGTGGCTGGAAGCTGAGTTGGGGTCAAAGAGAAAATGAAATCAATAACATTTACTTTCACTTATAACTACTGCGCCAATAATAATAATTTTGGTAGCAGAATAATCTCAGATTTGTGTTGTATTTTTATTTTGGCTCTTGTTCTGAAATGTGTCGTCGTCGTCTCCTTGTTTGGCATTGTTCCTTGTTCTGCCAGATTTTGGTTTGACACGAGTGAAAAAAAAGAAACTTACCGATACAAGAGTGGCACCAAGCAGAGCTGCTGTGGTTGGCAGGCTGTTCCTTGGATCGGCCATGAACGTTAGGGTAATGACAAACGACAGGATAAATTCCATCCCAAATGCCTGGATAGGAGTGACATGAGAAGCGATGGTTGTAGTCCCCAAACTACCCTGATAGCCTGGCACTGTGATTCTATAATAAAAATGAAAGAACAAAACTTATCAAATTATACGCTCGCCGACTTTCCTCATCCTCCAAGCAAATCTCGATTTGTCTCTCGACTTCTATTCCTCTCTCTCACTTTAACTTTCTCCATGCATCTCCGCTGATGAGTGAGCTATCCATTAAGTACACAGTTTTATTAGGCACCCATCCATACACCGCATCATCTAATCCAATCCTTCTGTGCTTACGCATTCAATTTCCAGCAGCAAAAGAAATGTAATTATCATTCCCATATATCCTCCATAACATAATTTAACATAATGTAATTCTCATTGCTGCTGGAGAGCGAAAATTGTCCACACTTCCTCTCACCAAATTTATCTACGACATCTTCGTGTGATTAGCGTCAATTTATTCGGAAATTATAGAACACTTTTTCTCGACCATTTCACCCAACTCTTGCTCTCTCTCGCTTCGTCTCCGTGTCTCTCGTGTACATTAATTCCAACAATTCCCCTTTTGTTAAGAAAGAGAAGAGGAAAAAACGTCTCTGATTCAACTTTTACTTTTGTCACACAACTTTCCACGGAACATTGTGTTGCAACGGAGGAGGAGACGCTGAGATACAACGGATGAAGGGAGAATAGTCAGTCGTCCTCATGGAGTGCAGGCCGTAAGTGTAATGCAAAGTTCCTTGTCGGACAGAGATGTACAAGTTAACCCGGATTCAGGAATCTCAATTGTCTTGTTCTCCCTCTCTTTCTTCCTTCCCACATTCCGTGTCTCCAATTTTCCTATCTTTTTGTACAGAATGGGCATTGATGAATGGATGCATTGTACTCTGGCTTTCAACTTTTGCACTTCAGCTTTCTCAGAGTGGGAGCAATAGTTAAATAGTGTTAGCAAGTGTCTGGATTGCATTAGCAGCTCAAGAAGTTATGATACCAAAAATGTGTCCTCATGAATGAATTCCTTCTCTTCCCAAGATAAACCCTTAACTTACTAAAACACGTCTGTACACATCCTATGATTCACTATTATGAAACGTTTCGTACCATAACTCAACGTGGTTCAATCCATTAAAACTTAGGAAATGACAACATTAGTTAAAGCCTAATGAGAAAATAGAGCAGCAGAAAAAAAGAGAGAGAAATGTGCATTTATATGTACATGCTTTTATGCATGCACATATGTAGAAATACAAACATTTGTTTTCCCTCATAAGAAAACCAAGTAAAGATGCCACCCACCCACTCGCAAGCAATGCTCATTTGCACAGACTTCCTTTATCTTTTTCTAAATGTTATCCAGACCCCATATTTTTCTAAGGTTTTTTCGCCAGTTGTTGTACGGAATCTGCTCAAACAGTGCTATCAGTGCACGATGAAGTGTCTATCCTACATCACAACGCAGTGGAAAGTGTCTTGCTCAGGGATTGGAAAGAGTCAAGCGAGGACCTTATTCCCAGGGTTATGATATTATAGATCGCATCACGGTGGTGGCAAAATTACTTTTTGGTGTTGGGCTTGTAACTGTCAGGACGAGTGGTTTGGAACGATATTACGATGATGATCTACTTCCAAAGTTAGCTTAAATGTTTCTCTAACTCTAACTCATCCCTCAATGATCCTTTCCCCTTCCTCTGAATGGTAAAAAATATTCAAGCCAAGATATATATGTCTCCATGTGCCTTCCCCAGAAGAAAAAGAAGAGTGGTGTGGATTGCTGTTCTAGAGAGCTCTAAACCATAGAATAAGAGATGTATACTTACTCTAAACTTATTACACACGAAGGCCTTGGTTGTGGAAGAAGGACACTTTGCAACACTAAATACTTGCACTAATGCGTCGTTCACCACCATAATCCAAAAGGGATGCAAGCACTTCTAGAGAAACTATTTAGATAGATAGTCCGTGAGACTCGGGGTAAGTAAGTTGGTGACTTTTCTCTAAATTCACCACTGCTACTGAACTGACTACTACCGAAGTTTCTGATTTTTTTGCTCTTTTTCTCGAATACGAATCCACAATAAGATTTCTCAAGTTTGTTCTTGAAGCACTCAACAAGAAAAACGAAGAGTATTTGCTTTACGAGCTTTTCACTTCTTGGCCAACTCCGCTTTCATATACCTACTTCGTCTTCTCCACTTGTGCACTAATGGCATTCCTATAATTCCTCCTGCCCCTCACTTCTTCTTTTTGTTACCCTGGCTCAAGTATTTTTCAAATGCAATTATAATTGTTAAACAACAGAAGATGTATTAACCTCAACTTAATCTCTCCTCCACCGTGATAATAATCTCGTAATTCGCTACGGTCCGGGATTGGCATGGTAGTGTAATTTCATGCCAAAATGAGTTTGGATTAGAGGTTAATTGAAGATTTTAAGACGATATGACAACTTGTTGCACTGGTTCGTCTTCCTTCACGGCTCGGGTAGAGTGGAATTGTGAAATATAATTGGCAACGTAGATTTTTCTCTCATTATAGGATTGCTCTGCTGCGTGTTAAAAAGTTAAATACACATAAACTTTTTTAGCTGAAATATGGTGCGGCAACAGCCAGCTTCCCCTTAACATTTAATCTCAACTAGCCCAGATGAAATAGTAGAAATGAAAATATTTATTTCGTTTCCTTTAAGAATATGAGTCCACAGATCTTCACATGTATGTATGTCACTCATTATCTTATTACAGGACTTTGAAGAGAATGAGACAACAAATAAACCAGCATTATTTATGAGGACTTTATTGTGCGGAAGAAAAATTCGTTTGTTTTAAGATTTTCAAACTCTGTTGTGCAAATACGAATTCAATTAAAAGTGGACCTTCTCTCATATCATTTGTTCTGATAGTATGAAAAAAGATGGAAAGAGACCTGATGTACATATCTCAGCCAAATATTATCAATCTGAAATTTGAGATGCGTACACAAGTGTACGCTTCCTTTTTGAATCTTTTAAACCATTTAACAGCACTGATGCTGTACACACACTAAATACATACACGATTTATATAATACGTATACATACATGCACATATTTAGTACACAGAAGTTTTTGTTCCATTTTTGGGATGAAGATAAAACTTGGAAATTTGATCCTTCAAATAAATATCTCGTGTGCAATTAAATCTTGTTCAAGGACAAGTGTTTCTTCTGAACCGAAAAGCAGTGGGTGCATTAAATATTCGTGTGGGATAGCCTCGCATCATGCTTATTGTGATGGTGTAAGTATAAGTAAGGGTAAGTATTGGGTCAGGAATTGGACATTGAGATTCTCCACAACGAGCCTAAGCCCGGTCGAATATCACATTCGAGGACAATCAGCATGTCAGAAAGGCCACGGAGTAGGAGGACGAAAAGGAGTCTGAGCAGAACCTTTCAGATTTTGGAGGCACACAAAGAGTGAATTCTTTGGAGAATTTGGACCCTCTTTCAATTCAAACTTTTAGTTACGACAACTTTATAGCGCAAAGATCTGCTTCACTACTCATTTGGTCGCTTCGTTGGTTTGTTTGCTTTCCAATTCCGAGTAGTTTGGCCTCCTCAACTCAATGCTGATTCTCATGTTCCGTCACATCTTTGGAACCAACCGAGTGAAGACCAAATTTCATACCTCGTGATGACAAATGCTATGCTCCTTTCTTATATTGCTCTCTTATTATTGGGCTGTGAAGTTGGGTGGGACAGTCACGTTGTTATGTTAAGTTAGTTAGAAGAGGCATTGAGAAACGGAGGAAAAGGATCGACCAACTTGGATTGGAACATGAAAAGAGTGCTCAATGAGCCAAATCTTAAAAGACGGGGGTGCCAGATCTTACGGTACATTTATCTTCATGCTTACCAACCAACCATCATCATCATCATAGCAGCACTCATTTTACTTCCACTGAAGGGATCTGCTGAAATTGGACGATCTTTCATACTGAACTAACTCAACGTATTATTTGTAGTGGTTGGACGCCACCAGTTAAGGATCCAAAAACAGGAGCTCTGCCAACCATCCGACCCACCGACCGGGATTAAGCAACCAAGAAGACCTTTTTCTTCTGGGCTGGACAAAATGGACCCTTCGAGGTTAGTGTTGGAGGAATTTTAGTACAACATATGGTCAATAGTTTCAATCTCGTGGAAGTAATAAGACTCTTTGGGGTACTTTTATGAATTGTTAAAAAAACTAGTCGAGTAATAAACCTGATTGCTGCCAACTTGAATTTTCAGTCAAATTTAAAATTACGAAAGCACTAAAGGTCCTAAGCAAGTCTACCCAAATGTTTCACAGTGCATGACATGACTATCATTTTAGGTGCCCCGATACTTGATACATTTTCAATTTAAAATTGAAACTGAGTTGTCAAACTCGAGACAAAATTTCTAATTATGCGTGTGCAAGATGTATTTTGTAACAATTCAGAAATATGAGACATGTCAATCATTCCAAGAGGATATACGTATCAAAAACCCAAATTTCAAGTTGTAACAAAAATACACACATGGAACCACTCGAGTACAGTAGCTAGGACCAAATGATACGATCGATACCATAAAAATTCTATGCTTGACATAATGAGTACTAATTGTTTCTTGTATGCAAAATAAATCATGAATAAAGACCATGATACCTTTAAGATTAGTAGTCCTTCGATCAGCATTTCTCAGCAAACCAAGTTGAGAAAGGTACAGGAAACAAGGAAAGCATTACAATAGCATAATCCATATGTGCGATATGTACGATGATGGAATCAAGAATTCCGTTTTAGCTTGTGGCCCACAACAAGCTCTCCTTTCTTGTGCCGAACCCCCCACGCGACAGAGAACACAGGGAAACCACTCAAAATTTGAAGTAGAAAAATGGGAAACATATGTGTCCACATGAGGCAGGCTTAAGAGTTTTTCATTTCATCTCACTTCAAACTTGGTTGGACGCTAGGATAGGCTGGCTGGCTGGCTGCATGGCAGCACAGCGAGTCTTCCTTCAACTTGTCCCCTGAGATTTCCATCCAGGGAGAAAAATCAGCCAAGGCGAATGCATACAACTTTTTTAAAGAGGGAATAACCAGGACGAGAAGAACGGAAGGAAACCAAACCCAGTCAAGTTCCCTCCGCATCCCCGGTGAAAAAATGAGGCGAAACTGTGTTCTGATGTGGTAAGTCCGGACAGGAGACAGTAATAGAGGAAGAAACTGTCCAATGCTCAATGTTCACCGTTTCCTCCGCGGAGATTGATGATGCAAAATATAAATGTGTGGAGCGTAATGTGATGCAATGTATGTAAAATGTGGATAGATTGCACAACTTGTCTCTTGATATAACATGCATGTATGCTGCATGGGGACATTATTATTGTGGGCTTGCTACTTTGCTCTCGGGCCTTCCTTCAGTCCTTCTCCTCCTTATTTGCATGGCCAGTGCACTTTATTTTATTTAACTCCCTGGATATCATGCATGGAGATGTTTTAAACTATTACTCCGTCCCACTACTTACTCAAAAGTCGCAACATAATATTTCAGAGCCCAGGATGAAGTGAGTTCAAAGTAAAAAATACTGCCTCAGATTTCCTTCCTTTACAAAACTGCTCTCTCTCTCTCACTTTCTCACAACTTTTTAAGAAACTAGATTGAAGACGGGAAAAGTCTCTGAAACTCTTCAATTGTGACACATTTTCCACCAAGGCAGATTGAATTTAAGACTTCACTTAAAAAATATTTCTAAAATGTTTATAAGTTGAGAAGAAAGAAAGAAAAATGATCTGTCCACTAAAAACCAGCGTGTTTTTTGAAATGATAGAAGCAGCCACCACTCCAGAGGACTCCAGATGGGGAAATCTCGAGTTCAAATTCAAAACATGACTAGAAGAACTCAATCCGACTTTTAACTAAGGAAAATCAGAGGACTCTCGTTCACATTTCACATTTCGAGACTTAAACTTGGATTGCACCAGTCCGCACTTGCACGTATTCCAATTTATTTACAACTCTTTGCTCGTCCTCTGTTTTGTCTTCCCCACATCCGGTTGGTGGGTGGTGGTGGTGGCATGCAGTAACTGAACACAGTATAATAAAGCAGCAGCGGTGAAAGCATACGCAATTCAGTTTCGTCGTCTCTTCTCATTCTGACAAATCCGGACGTGAGTATCATCATCATTATTAACATTTTTTCACTATTATTATTTTATATGAGTGTGGAAAATACATATATAACGATAATTCTTTGAGGAATATCCATCCAACCTGCAAGCATACATCCATAAAACACCATCGCTGCTGGATTACTGGTCGGACATGCATTTAAAAAAAGGTTGTTGGTTGTAAATAAGGGAAGACCCCAGATTTGGACAAGCTCGATGCTCGTTTTTTGCTCATCGTCATCATGCTATAGATCAAATCACATACTTCCAACTTTCGTGTCTTTCCAGTCAACTGAACCTCCTCCCTCTCCCATTTAAAGAATTTATATGAGACTGACCCCCGTACTTTACAAGAAAAGACACGTATAAGTAATGGCATTGCTCTTTGTGGTAGAGCTGAGAATTGGTGGACGATAAATGAATGATGAGATTTTTTTAATTTTCAAGTTCTCGTAAAACTTCAAAATTAATTTTCCGCTAAACGGCATATAGGAGAAAGCGAGCCTAAATATTCATATATTTCAGAAAATTCTGAAATAAATAATGAATTAATCAAAAAGTTGGAGAAGTCTCTACTTTTCTCTGCACTCTTTTTCCTTATCTTTCCTCTCCGCAGTGGGGGAGTAGTAAGCACGAACAATAATTGGAGAATCCGCATAACCCCTGAAGCAAAAATAAGCCTCGTCTTCTTCTTTAATTGAGGTCGTAATTGTTTGGACGGAATAGGAAGTCCAGCCTGCCTGGTGGCAATCAGTCAGCACCAACTGCATCGAATACGATATACGTATAAAAAGTTGGTGAGCAAACGGTAAAGAAAAAGTGTGGAGATCTTCTTTTTCTTGTGATGTTCTCCTACGTTCTCGTTCCTCTGCTGATGGTCTGACAGTTGTGCAATTTCACGTGGAAGGCCGGAAGTAGCTCCACATCCCTCAGCACCAGCAGCCACTCACTCACATTCTGTGAGATCGAGGAAGGAATGAGAAAAGTGAATTGTGAGAGCCGAGCTCTTTTCTCCTCTTGCCTTCCTGAAGAATGAACAAGTAAATTTACAAATCCGTCAGAAGAATTTCGCACGTTTCATCCCAACGTCACGTCACCCACCACCACCGCACCGGCGGCCGTGACACGCCATACCACCATCCATGACTTTCTCTATCTATCCTTTCTCTCCAGACAGCAGGTCGACACCACTGCTGCACACTTACGGCCACGGATAGCAGGCGGTGGGTGGATGGGTGAAAGTTGCTCTTCCAAAAAATATGAAAGGAGAATCAGAGAGATGTGAGATGGATGATGATGAGGTAGGTCCGCGACTCACTCACCCCAACTGACTCCTCTTGCCCACTCTCAACCATGGAAGTATGTACATCAAACAAGACGAAGGTGGTCGCTTGCTAGAGAAAATATCTCAGCTAGCATTGCTTTTTCATGACTTTTTCTCCCTTTTACTCCGACCAACTTGTATTTTGCTACTGGGCCAGAGAGATGAGCAAACTGCTGGATCACGAATCTTGTTTTCGAAAAAACACGTAATATAGAGAGAGAGATGAGTTAATGGGAAATTCGGTTGGGGTCCTCCTCCGTATAAATATAAGGAAGAAACACCTCATCTCACCCTGGTTAGTTTGGACTTGTTTTTAATAACTGAGGATGAGCGAGGATGAGGAAGAAGGCCGACAACACAGACTGACACGACAGGCCGAGCAGGCAACAAGGGGCTGACTAATCACACCAGAAGAAGAAGAGACTATTTGAATCTTCTTCTTCTCTGCAACGACGACCAAGGCGAGGAAGAAGGAGCACTAAACAAAAATATAAAATATTGCGTTGTCTGCCTGTGCCCGGCTGTCGGTCAGAACACGAGCCCAGTGTCGTGAACATCTGCCTCTTTTCTTCTTCTTTTCTGCCCCGTGATCTCTGATCATCGTCCTCCTTGGAGGAATTCTCATTCGCCAGGTGTTTCCCAAAACAACTTTTGACGTACTACTACTACGCAAAGCTGGCAATATTCCGTAATATTATGTTCAAGTGGATCGAGCCTTATTACCCTCCGCAGACCCTCAATCTCTTCCAATTTGAGAAGTTTCATCTTAAAAATATTCCAACCCTTTTGCTGGGCACATGATCATCAGCCACTAGTGAGCAGGTTGGGATGGCTAAGCAATGAAACCTGCAGTCTGATTAGTCTCGTGCACTTTCTCCACTACTACCACAAGCCAAAAGAGTGATGATGAGACCAAAATTATAATATTGTTTGATAAATACATACAGCGTAATTTACGCCGTTAAAGAAAAGGTACTACCAAATTCTCAACTGACTCTAAATATGCTGCATCGAACGAAATACGCATGTTTTTCACCCCTTCTACACCCAAACGGCATTATTAGCTACCAAATTGCTCTGATTAGAAGGTAAAAATAGAAACAAAGGATACAAAACAAAGATATTACTTTACATAATAGCCAAAGGCGGGTAAGGGGAAGAAATTGGAGGTTTTAATAATCACTGGTGTCTAGATTCCACTCACTCAACTGAAACGTACCACCTTAAACAAGTGCAGTAGCAGATGGTCTTTTTATACACGCATCCGTCGTATCATAAGCAAGGCAAGCATAGACAAGAGGAATGTTTTGACCTTTCGTTTATTCATTTTTAAAATGAATGCAAGTGTGGAGCTCAAATGAAGAGTTGATTGTAAGTGGGATTTAATCCAGAAACATGACTGGAGAGAGAAGCCAACGAGGTCTCAAGTCTCCTCAGCATACGTAACAGCCATCTTCAAGGAAATTATAGTTAAAAAAGACTTCGCACTTATTCTTAAATCTATCTCAATTCAATCTCTAATGTCAGAGTTCGTACAGTGCGTGTTCTGATTTTTTTCTCAAACCCAGGAGGCTCGCCTCAACCGATGGACCCCCGTTTTTCAACGATGTGACGTGACTTTGGCGAATATTTATGTATTTTCTTGTTCAAATTGGCTGGAGGAAAAAACCCTTTTCCAGAGCTCTTGTGCTCACAATTCTGTTCATGAACTCGTTTGAAAGATCAACACCATCACCTTTTCCCATAGAATAAAAACCATCGT